AGGCAGTTATATTTTATTTCAAAAAGAGAGGACTTTTATTACAAAAAAAAAAAAAAAAAAAAAAATCCCTGCTTCTTAAAGCCACCTCCCCTCTGGAAAGGGAGACAAGTGATGGAGATGCTGAGTGACCCTCAACCACAGCACAGCAAGTGTTGCAGGTAATTCTTACTGAGGTTTGGATCACCTTTTCCATCCATGCTGCTAAAACTGGCACGGCAGCATCCAAGTCTCCCAGGAAAACTGGTGCATCTGAGAAAGTGTCCGCTTATTTCAGAGTGTGTATCTATTGTTGGCAGAACATGGACTGGGCTGACTAGGTCAAACGTGCTGGTGAATGTTTACAGTCAGAGTGAACAATCAACCCCCTCAACACTCAGATACAATGGAAGAAATAAGACACTAGGAAGAACAGCAGCAGAGCTGATGCACTGCCAGACTTCTGCTGGACATGGGAACTACACATTAGCTAACTAACTACAGTTATCTCTTCATCTCTCTGTTACTCAGATATTGCGGGGCGAGGGAAGCCTCCAGAGGGCCTGAATGCCTGTTCAGGCATCTGTTCTCCATCCTCTATGGACTGGGACACTCTTTATTCACTGGCACCAAGTTTAAAATTCTCCCCTTATTCAGGATTTCATGCCTTTAAATAAGAAATCAGCTCATACCGGATCTGGACAGGGCCTGGGCTAATTTGCAACCCTGCCATGAAGCAGAACGGAAAAGGAGAGTCCTCCCACAGCTCCTCTGGGGCTTGAAATGCTCCATATAAAAACACCCACTGAAAGGGAGGGGAGGGGAATCCTTTACAAGGAAAAACTTGCCAGAGGAGCCCTGATAATGACTAATGTCCCAGGGAGAGAAGCTTTCACCTTGGATGGGTTTTTTTTCTTACAGCATTTGTTGTTCATGTCTATGATAGAAACATAGAATATCAGGGTTGGAAGGGACCTCAGGAGGTCATCAAGTCCAACCCCCGCTCAAAGCAGGACCAAACCCCAGATAGATTTTTGACCCAGATCCCTAAATGTCCCCCTTGAGAACTGAACTCATAACCCTGGGTTTAGTAGGCCAATGCTCAAACCACTGAGCTATCCCTCCCCCCTGGTGATGATTGTGCTGTGTGTGTAGCTATGTATCCTCTTGCCCTACTGCTGGCAGGCAGCAAAATGTGAGTTCTTTTTAGCATACCTGTCTCTTTATAAATCAAGTCACCGTGAGGTGCTTATGGAGATTGGACCAGCCCTCACCTGCCTATCCATGTAATTTGACTTGGCTCCAATGCCCAGTGGGCCAATAAAAATAGAGACTGCTCCAAACTCTGTGCTGCAAAAAAGCCATCTCTGTTTAAAACAGCTCTTTTCTGCATGTTCCAGAAGGCTGCTCAGCTCGCTTCAGTAACTGGCAATCACTAATCTCCACTTCCCCCAGTGTCTCTTCCTTCAGATTGTCTAGTCTTTTCATCTTACCCATGTTTGTTTAAACCCTGTATTGTGTGATGCGGTTAGATTGGGTTCCTACTGGAGAAACTGCTAAGTGAGCAGCAGGACCCCATGGGCATAAGGGACGCACACCTGCACAGCAGATGTCACTCTCTGACCTCGCAGAAGCAAACAGCTGGGGCAGTGACATGAAGAGACTACTTGTTTATTGCTTCCTACCTAGCCCACTGCAGCAAGACCAAGCCAACTATTAGGCAGAACTTGCAGGGTTACTCTTACATGTGAGCCATTAAGTTGGCAAAGTGATATAAATGAAATGCACACACTTAGCACTTACATAGTGCTTTACAATGTCTCTCGCTACGTGAGGATACAGTGACCAATCCAAGGGGGCCTCATTCTCAGCTGGGCCCTTCAGTCGCTACCCTACTATAAATAAGAATGATCCCAAATTTTCAAAGGCAGAAACTGAGCCACAGAGAGGTGAAGAGACTTGGCCAAGGTCACACAGCAAGCGGGGGCTCAGGAGAATGAGGTTCTATTCTTGGCTCAGCCAATGGACTCACTATATGACTCTGGGTAAGTAATGGTTTAGGAGCCCTCAAGAGGACTGTCTTGTACCTAAGGGACTGAACTGGAACTCAAGCGATCTGGGTCCAGTCTCCAGCTCTGTCACAGGCTTCCTATGACCCTGAGAAAGTCACTTACTCTTTTAATGGCCTGATTCCCAGTCTGTGCCTCACATTGTTACATACCCACATCTGCATCTGTGCTCTTCTTCATGTCCTTCTGCAGTTTCTTAGTCTGTTCTTCCAGCCTGAAATAGGAAAGAGTAAGACTAAATTCTGAATCTTTAAAAGATAAACAAACATATACATGACAACTATGCCAACAGGCCAGCTGGTAGTTAAAAGGCAACTGGACACGTTTCTATTATGTATAATGCTGTTTAACCATATAACTAATTTCAAGTGACCTCCCACATCTCCACATGACCCTTACGTTTTTATTCTTACTTTTATAGTAAACATATCAGATATAGGTCTATACAATATAACAGTTACTACAACTACAACATTAGACCTTACAAACGTTGATGGTTTTGGACTCCTTGAAGATATTCTGGACATTTTATTTTCTTTGCTTTAGAATTGTAATAAAATTGTCAGTACCTCATGACGCCCCACAGGTTGCAACCCACTGACTGAGAAACACCGATCTAAACCATCACAAAATTACCATGCACTCAGCGGGAGAACAAGCTGCTGAGCAACACAAGGAAAGATGCAATAAGACTAAGTTGGGTGAAAAGCAGATCCATGATCATCCCCAAACTGGTTAACACTTACTGCTGAAGTTTCCCATATTCCCTTTCGAAGTCTCTCTCCACCTGGGGGAAGGAGAAAGAGAAACCACATCAGCTCAAACACATTAGAGCACAATTCAAAAAAATCCACCCAGGCCCCTGTCCTTCCCGCGGAAATATGAACTGGAATGATCTGCAAGTATCAACAGATACATGTCAAGCTATTACTATTTATATAGTGTCAACGGCATGCTAGGCACTTTAGAGACAAACATGAGGATAATGGGTAACATTTTCAAAAGCACCTAAGTCCCATTTTTAAAAGAGTTTTAAGCACTTAGGAGCCCTAAGGCCTGGTCTGTACTTAAAATTTAGATCAATCTAGCTACATCACTCAGGGGTGGTAAAAATTCACACCTTTGAGAGCCGCTGTTAAGCAGATCTAGTCCCGGGTGTAGACGTGGCTAGGTCAATAGAATTCTTCTGTCAACCCAGCTGCCGACGCTCAGGAAAGTGGGTTATTTACATAGATGGAAAAACCTTTTCCATTGATGTAGGAAGCATCCACAATACAGTGCTTTAGTAGCACAGCTGTAGTGTGCCACTGTAGTGCCCGGAGCACAGACATGGGCTAAGTCTCACTGGACTTCTAAATCACTTGGATGCTTTTGAAAATTTTACCCAAGGTTCCTGCCCTGATGATATTACAATCTAAATACAGAACTTGTTTAGCTTGTAAACTATATAAGACCCAAATAAGATCTGAAGCCTAAAACCTTGAAAGTATCTGGAGTATTAAATAACAAAACTTTTGGTGGTTCCTCCTAATTTAGTTCCAAAGTGCTCACTGGGGTTTCAGATCAGGAAACATCATGAATCTTCCTGCACCAGCAAAATTCTAAAGTTCTGAGTTTCATTCTAAGGCATCAGGGGAAATATCGAAAGGTGGAGATATGAGTGTAGTGTATTCTGTGTAGTGAAATTTGTATTCAAGAAATACCCAATGGACCCAAGTAAGTGGGTGCTATAGCGTTTCCCAAAAGTAGAAGTGACACCAGTGTTTTCTGTTACTAGACAGACCAGACCATTTTAGAGAAAAAGTCATTGCCACCAGCTGTGTCAGTTCACTCTGAGGACATGCTAGGGCACATGAACTGGAAACTGACAAAATAAATGGCGCCGTTCCAAAAGCACACAAAGGTGGCAGCCCAACAGGTATAATGACACATGAACACACATGCAGTACTGTCCGTTTTACACAGCCCTGCTCGGTGTTTACAGAAGAAGAGCAGGTCATATGAGAAATGTTTCTGCTCGGGGGTCCAGAAACACTGTGTGCATACGTTCACCCATGGTAATGGAGAACGGGACCTGGGGCATGCCCCTCTCTCCTCTGACACCAAATTTAAATGACTCCACACTCCCCTTTGCCGATTATTAAGTATCTATCTTCTCTGCATGCAACTATTTTGTATTTCCATGTCACTAATATCGGTTCTTCGGGCTTCAGTAACTGGTATTCTAGGCCTCTTCCTTTTCCCTTATGATTTGCCTGTGTGATGTGCCCCAGCACTCCTCCCAACTCCCATTCTAATCCATAGGTTCTAATCCACCACAGAATCCGGACTGCTCCAAGCCTTAGACTTGAAACTGGGTTTGAAGCAGTTTAAGCTCCATTAGAGAATGCACAACTGAAGGGGTGGCAGTGGCTATTGGCTGCTACAGCTGAGTTCTTAGTCAGATTAACTACTGCAGTTGTCCCAAAGATTGGTAATTTTGTATTTAAGCACTTCTTTTCTGATCACTTCCTATGAAACTACACATTCTCTGTACCATACCCTCTGTCTCCATCAGCTCAGGTAACCAATGGCCCCCTTCTAAGCCTCAAGATACCACTGGTTCTCCATGCCCCCCAAATTCTAATACATGGCCCTATTGCAAACAAATCCACCAAACCATGGGGTGAAAAGAAAACAATTTTATTATTTTAATTGCAGTTCTCAGTGTGCTGGGCACTTTCCAAAGAGATGAAGATAGAGTCACTGGCCCAAAGAGTATACAAGCTAAAAAAAAAATCACCCAAGCAGAGAAGTATTCTCCAAATATGACATCAATGATTTCCTATTCCAATCTGCTGTCTGACAGAAAATCTCCAATGAGCTACGATACTCCATGGTGCTTTCATTCCAGGTGGACTGTTTTAACACATACTTAAACATTCATTCCACATCTTATCAACCAAATAAAGCACATGGATTTCAACTGACCAGCCAAGAGTAAACGTGTACTTTTGTTGTTATGGGATCAAAACTTGGTTCTTTTTCGTGGTTAAGCTGCCACGCTATTAAACAAGCAGCAAAGCGTTGCGCACAGCCAAGACTAGAATGAACCAGAGTATTTTTTTTAAAAACGTACTCCATGCTGCTCCAGGCATTTGAGACCGAGACTCACAGCAACAAAATATAGCTACAGAAACAACACATTTAATAAAATCCCCCCCTTGGTTTTCAATTCCAATTGCTATAAGGCCAACATTTTAAAGTGGAGACCTACAGGTGTAAATGTCACCCTCATTTTTTGCAATCCCCCTTTCTTAAATATCTTCTGAGTTTGCAGGTTCAAATCCACCCAAAGTCAGTAGTGACTGAGTCACTGCAATCTGACGGCTGTTTGGTGGGTAGTGAGTTTGGTGAGCTTCGGTCAAATTCCAAGGGGATATGTGTCCAGGCCAACAGAGACCACCACTACTGGCACCCACGCTGGCTGTCTCTGTAGACTGAAAAGCTCCAGAGACTGATCTCCCTTTCTCGCTGCTAAAATTGGTCCCTCCAGGACAGGGTGGATCAATGAGGGGGCAGCTTGCATAGCCAATGCCTGGTTCACAGCTCTGCAAAAATCCACGACAGCTGGTGCCTTCAGGTCAGGTAACCAGCACATAGTAAAATCACCCTATATTTCTATGGTTGTTCCGGCTGTAAAAATAACCCCAGACTATTGCATTCTATTTATATGTCTGTGTGAACTGTCCTGGTTGCAAACCAAAGGGGGCCGGCATGACTCAGGCTCGAGTCCTTTGACGGCTGATGGTATTATTCCCCCTGTTCTCAGCACGAAGCTCCATCCCGTTGTAGATGTACTATTCAGAAGAATTTCCCTTTCATTTGGTCAGCAATCAGTTCTTTCTAGGCTTAGTTGCAAAGGGTGGGGAGGCTCGGGATGAAACGGAATGTAAAGATGCTGAGCGGTTCCTGACATTTGCTGATTTACCCATTATTGTTCAATTTCTCCCCTCTACCTGCAGTGCCTGGGGGTGAAACAAAGGCATCTCGGTCTATTTGACATGAGGGAGGCCACAACTCTCACACAGAAGTTACTTTTCTAGTGGAGTACACGTGTTCCTCAAACTCTCATCCTGCCCTATCTTTCTTGGGTTCCCTGCCTAGTCGTCTTGTGTGCACTCTGCATATCAGGGATTGAATCCTCTTCTTCACAAGGCAGCACATCAAACACCCCTCCCCACTCACATCCCCAATGACATTTATACAGAGACAGCTGCCCAAGCATTAGTCTTGTTTCACCCCCACAGTAACAGTTGGCTACCAGTCACTGCATTCTGCACACCCATGTGCCTCTGCTAGCTACTATTAATTATTATTTCTATTACAGTAGCACCCAGAGACTCCAACTGAGGCTCATGGACCATCATGCGACACAAATAAGTCCCTGCCCCAGAATGCTCACAATCCGGGTTTATGTAAAGATGCAACAGGTGGATGAAAGAGACAAATGCAGTGGGCTGCGAGGGCAAGGTAACAGTACACCAAGCACGTTATGCATAGTACCCAGCAGCTTCAGCTCTCACTTAGATTTCACCAGCCTGGAAACTCAATGGCCGTAGGCATCTGACACGTAAAGCAAAAAGCTACTGATAGAGTTACCAAGTTAAAAATAATGAGCACTAGAGGTACTTTGAAGAAAAGAAACCATCTAGGTAAGTTTCCACATTCAAATAATTCCTCCCTCCAACCCACCTCACTCACTTTTGGAAGCTTGAAACCAAAATCTGTTCTCCTTACTGAAATGCTTTTTGTTCCATGCACATTGGTTAGTTATTGTAAGATTGCTCCCGAGTGCAGACTTAGGACTTTTAACTGAAGTGCTCTTTAAAACCCCCCAGTGAATTACATTGACTTTGTAACAAATCCAAGAAGGGGTCGAACTTTGGGCTTTCCAGCCATGATAGAATCTGTATAACTCAAAGGGGCTGTTGTAATCAGCAATGTGGTAGAGAGGAAATGATGCAAGACCAATGAGCACCACAAGAGGATGGAAAGGCAGTACTGTGAAGAGCCTTCTTACTCTCCTGGAGGAAGGGTGCTATTGATTTCCACATGGCATCATTTCATTGGACTCAGACTCCCTTAATGGGACTTGGCAACAAGAGGGAAGAGAAAAAATTGTGTAGTTAAGCCAAACGTTTTATTATAACCACAAACTTCTGCTGGGTATGTGCCATCCCATCAAACACAACGAAGATCCCACCTAGACAATGCAAGTTGTGTGCATAAATTGGGTGCAGCAGAACAATTAGCACAAGACATAATAACCCCTTTGTGTCTGACAGTCGAGTACCTTGAGCCAAAATAATCCTGAAATGAAGTGAAGCCGGAATACAAGCCTGTACACCCATGACTAGGATTTTGTGGACTTCACAAACTACAAGCCACACCTACCCATCTTCTAAGTAAGGCTATGGGTGGATAAGCAGTGCACAAAAGCAATGCTGCTCCTATGCCGTTCCCCAAAGAGCATCATGTGCAGCTAGAGGGATGGGACTCACCCCGCTTCAGCTTTAATGAGAGGGGGTGGAAGGGAGAGTGTAATAGACACAGTCACCTAATTCACCAGGCCCGTTAATTTCATCCCACCAATGCTGTTACTCCGGTATTAGAGATTTCAAATGTTAGTCATGTGCAGTGGAAACTAATTATGGCAAACTTGCTGGGATGGAATTCTTGTTCTAATGAAGCTTAGTTATCGAAAGGTCTCAGGGAACACCAAAATCTTTGGCTAAATCAAGGGAGCAGGGTCTAGCAGACTCTGAAGTCTACAACCCAGGTTTGTGAGCTCTGGAATACACTTTGCCAATCATGCCCAGCCAACTCACTCAAGGTCAGCCAGTAACAAAGTGGGGGAAGGATACACCCCGAATTGAGCAGACTGAGGTGGGGAACCCCTGACCAACTCGTCCAAGGTTATTGGGGGCGGCTGTGCTCTGAATTCCTCTCTTCCAAGAGTGAAAATGAGCTGACTGGCTTCCCCTGCTTTGCCTGGCAGTGGTAGGAGGCTGTGCTCCAGGCTCAGAGCTCACTGTGGAGAGGCACAAGCTGCAATTCTTTTCAGCCACCTGCCGACTCAGATGACCCAGTCCCCACTGAAGAGCATGGTACAACCCCAGGGTGACCCAGATGAACTTCAGTTAGCTGGGACTCCACTGCAGCTTGAACAGTGTAACTTGTGCTTAGAGTGAAGTTGTCCTGGGGGTGGGGAGAAGGGGAGAGAGAAGGGAACTGTCTCCACTATAAGAGGCATCCACTGTGTACTGGATTTAAATAATAAACATTCTGCACACAGATATAATTCTAACAGGTTTAGGTCCTATCGCTGGGCATCAGTTTAATTGGGCTGCATTACTATGTCCTCTATCGTTCCCCTGACAGCAGGTCCTCTCTGTATATTAGATCCTCCCACCCAATCTTCTCGCCTCTGTACAAGCTCAGTGACAGATGCTCTTTTCAGGGGAAGAGGAGGGGAGAGATTATTCCGTCTGGAATTGGATTTGCCCAGGTTTAGGTGGAAACAAAGTAGTGACATGCCGGAGGGTGTGGGGGGGTGGGAGATCACTTCAGTTCACCAGCTGATATTTCCTACAGGGGTTTCCTTCTACCTAAAGAGCTACACGGTGGCTGACACTTTGCCCTTCTTCAAAGGATCAGCAGCGAGTGGGCACAAGGAGTCATGACTAATTCCTACTGCAGCCCAGTCAACTTATTTTCCAGTGCTCCTACTAGTACTAGAGCCTTTTAGCACAAAAGCTTTGGTGAGCTAAGCCTGCCATGTCAGAATGATTCTGTCTCTCTCCCTGTGTTGGAATTAGCATGCTCTGGTGGGAACCAACTGCTAAATTCTGACAACTGCCCTTTTTTTTTTTTTGTGGTACAATCTTGTGAGTGGGAGATCCTCTCCATAACCGCTTCCCTTCTGATGAGCTCTGGATGGAGCCCTGGAGATGCCACACCTTCCCACTTCCTGCAGAAGCCTCCAGAGGCCAACATCTGGAATAAAATGGAGAGCTAAAGCAGATTGTACTGCTGTTCACAAAAGCCCACACAGATGGAATGTCTCAGCCTGCAAGGGGGAGGTAAACTCGGAGGTCTATGCTAACTAGCTTAGCTACAAAGCAGCCCATCACTTCCATACCCTGAAACTAAGAGGAGTGTAAATCTGAAGGTCAGATTCTCAAGGGAGATTGGTAGGTTCAAATATTAACTCTCGTTCAATCTGAGCTCCTGCTCTACCATTAGGAGGGCTAGCTTCAGAGGTGATAGTGGAGACCTTGGTGTGTGGCACTATGTGCAGCAACACAGTTTTATGTAGTATAAGGTCTTTCAGACAAACTGCATCCTGAAACACTTTACATAGTTAAACAATACATTATGGCACAGGGAAAGGGAAATTCACAGCTGCAGACAAAGAGAATATGTACTCATATGAGAGACAAAAATCAGATGGGGCGGAAATGTCCAAAAACACCGTTCAAGTCATCAGGCGATGCGTAGAAGAAGGCTCTTGCGCCAGCAGAAAAGAAACCAGTGCTAGATAGGTGGATGGAGCAAGTAAGGAAGTGAGACAGTCAGAATCTCTGCAATCCAATAGAGAAAGTCAATGAGGGATTTAAAAACAAAAAAGGGTAAGTTTGAACTGGATCTTGAAATAAACAGGGATCTAGTGGATTTGCCTGAGGCTGGGGGTTGTATTTCTTTGCAGAGAGCAGCATTCAACACATGAGGTCTGGAGCACTAGAACTTGGGAAGACCACAGAAGAGTGAAAAGGAGTCAAAGGCCCTCATTAGGGTTTCAACATTGCCGTTCTTTAAAAAGGTCCCTTGCTTAAATTTTGCACTGCCAGTCTGAAGCAGAAGCAGAAAACTGTCGTTCTGCAGCACCACAGAATGACACCATCCTTTAAATAAAAGATTACAATTCATCAATATTGGGAAGTGGCAGAGTAAACCCTCCGTCTCAAGGGGAAACTTCATGCCACAAAAAGCATCTTTGACACCGTAATACAAATAACCCACGCATCCTAAGGAATTAGCAGTGGTGGGAGTCCCACAGAGGAAGGATCAGGAATGTTAGTCTGTACAGGGGATTAGTTCACCAATGCAGTTATAATTATAAAGCCAATGTCTCTGTCACACTAGCGATCAGGACGCTTCTTTTAAAGCAGGTACGCAGGTTAATTCAGGGATTGCTACTGTGAGCACTACAGCTTTCACAGGACAAGGACCATCTGCTTAAGCAGGGAAAATACCACAGCCAGCTGCAAGAAACAGCGCTTGGGAAAGGACTTTCAAATTCATCAGAATACAAAATGCTTTTTTAATTTCTTTTAAAGCAAATGCTGTGCAGCACAAATTAATTCATGCCTGAGTACTAAGCATCTCAGCCTCCTCTGATAAGCTTTCCTTTGGAAACAGTTATATTCAGCGATCTGAACCACTCCCCCTCCTCCATCTGCTCAGAAAGGATGAACAAACAAGCCATTGCTGAAAGAAGGAAGGAAGGAAGCATGTTCAGTCATCTCCTAGGAAAACTGTGCCAGAATGAAAGAGCCCCCTCCCTTAAAAAACAGATCCCGAGACCAAAATACTGCATGTAGCTGGGACTCCCCCTCACCCACAGCGCAAGGATGTGATGGTCAAACACAGCAACAGGTTCTGCTCACTCACACTCCCCTCCCACATACACACACAAAAATGGGACGAGTCAAAGTGCTGGCTTGACTCACCAGCCACATGATCACAGACTGGATCTAAAAAGGGGGAATTGGTTTACTCACTGTCTTGGGTACAATCTGTTTCTTGGGCTGCCCAATCTTGAACGGAATCCTGGAAAAGGGAGGAGGGAGAGATAAGGAATATGTAAGCGAACAAGAATAGCTGGCCTCACATGCGACAATGTCAAAAAACACGTTCCCCAAGCTCTTTCTTAGAGAAGGATTTTTGGATGCCAGCTTCAGTGGAATAACATCCCAGATCCTGGTACTACATTCAAGATAAAGTACATCTCCCTTTGGAGTCGGCTTCAGCTCTGGCATCAGTGATCTTCCCAAACAGCAGTGCCAGCTGGGTCTCCAGCAATGAAATCCCCCTTTTTCCTCCGGTCAGTGTCCTATTAATACAACTAAGGGCTCTAGATGTCCAAGGCACTCCTTGGCAGCACAAAGGTCTGAAGGTGGTGCAAAATTTCAAAATAAATCTGAAAGGGGAGGCGGGGGTGGGGAGGAAGGAATCAAACACTGCAAATATTTCCAAAGAGAACATTAAAGGGGGGGAAGGGAAAGACCCTCAAAAACCACCACCCAAGTGTCTGGAGTTTTGAGCTGCTTCAAAGGATTTTTCTTTCAACAGCTGCAGCGATGGCTCACCTGCCAGCTGAACAGCCTTCATTCTTAAAAACCTTAATATGGTTGTGAGTACAATCTGGATGAGCTATTCCCCCCATCCCCCATAAGCTAGTTGGAAGGTGAAGAGTGCTCACGATGTATCCATTTTTGGCTCAGTCAGATTTTGTGGTCATAGTCATAAAGCAATTAAAATAATTAAGTTTCTTTCTCCACTTGATAACCAAAGTAATAAAAACACAATAATTCAGCCATTGCTTTCAATGTATTAGACTAATTTATGTTGTCTGGTTAAAATTCATGGTCCATAATGTTCCCAGTTTATACTAAACCCAGTTTACAGCATATTATGCTGATGTAGCTACGGGGAGAATTCAGTTACATATTTTTTAAAAAGGAATAGCCTTATCCTGTCTCAAACAATATTCTGTACCACATGCAAAACAGAAGGTGCAGAAGTCCCCTAATGGTCCTGTGCAAACAGTAACAAATTGTCACATTTTTTACTAAAATTGATTTTAAAAATCTAATTTAGTTTATATTATTTAATCTCTTAACCAGTTAATATTTGTCAGTATTGCAGAGTGAAAATGGCTAGTCAGTTTCACAAATGTCTCTAATCAGTTTCACTTACAGGTTGAAGGGTTGTTGAGGAAAGTTTTAATTCAAACTACGCTGATTTCCAATGATTATTTTTAACCGTGAAAACATTGTTATTACCCTATCGGTTTTATAAAATCTCTTATATACAACAACTAACTTTTAGGATTAAACTACCAGTTAGAGACTTCTCTCTGCAAGCACCACTCCACAAACACCACACCATATGAGACAACACTTAATATGGGAATGACAGCAAAAACAAGATCATCCAATGACCCAATTCCCTCTTTGCTTCATTTCAGCCAATCATAGTCAAACCAATGGTATAATTAGCAACCAGTAATAAACCTAGACTGCAATCCATACCTCCTGAACTGACCATGGAGTAAAAGTCAACATTAGTCACAAATGTTTAAATTTAATTTCTGGAGTACTTCCTGTTTATTGTTCTCCAGCATGGCTGATGTAATTTTAGGCTGTTAACCCCTTCCAGTTCCACTGGCAGTCACAGCAACCATGAATCACACTTCTTCTATAAACAATCGTCTAGCATATAATGAAACAGTCAATAACTGGTTGTGGTGCCTTACTGGAAGGAATAGGAAATTAAAGATTTTTCTTTTTTCTACATGGGCAAAAAGTCAATAAAAATGGGGTGACTCTCTTATTACCCTCTGGGCACTGGTCATACTAATTGAAGTCAGTATAACCAGGTGCTATCTATCATTAGAGCTAGTTATTTGTGACAGTGAAATCTGCATCAGTAACTGCCCTCAGGTAGAGGCCAGGAACAAAACTGGGGAACTGAGGGGGAGCAGTGGGATGGAGAAGAAGAAAACTAGGACCAAATACAGCTCCCGGTGTAAACAGATGCAACACCGTTGCTGAATTTGGACCTGCTGTGCCCAGCCTGAGACTGGTTGATAATATCTTGCAGCAGGCATTGCCGGGAGTTCCTATAGAAACATAACACGGGAAGATGGAGATTGCTGGCAGTAAGTGAAGAAAGCATGTATAAATCAAAGCTTAACCATTTGATCTCCTGTGAAATATACAACATGCAGCTACTAGAGTGGCACCCTGAGGTCCCACACATCACTGACACCATGCTGAAGTAATCAGCTAACAAACGCACCTTTAAATACTTTGCCCTTCTACATGACGTTACAACAGAGGATCTCCGAGTGCTTACAAACACTGAATCTTTATCTCCATTTTACAGATGGAGGAAACTGATGCACAGAGAAATTAAGTGATTTACCAAAGGTCACAAAGTGAGTCAATGGCAGACAGGAATAGAACTCAGGAATCCTTATTCCCAGTCCCTGCCTTAAGCACTTCAAATCCACCGAGTAGAGATGTGGCATTAAATAGAGATATTATGGTGAGTGACTTTGTACCAATAAGAGGAGGTGGGGGAAATTCCACCAACGGCACCCCATTTGAATGCATCTTTAGTATTCATGTTGCACCATGAATTGCACGGTGTATTACAGAAGAGAGAGAGAGAGACATTGTCCCAGCCCCAGAAAGTTTACAGTCCCAGCCAAAGAACAGTTAGCACTGTGCACGATTAGGGATAATTGTTTCTCTGTTGCTAATGATTAATCTTAGTTAACACAGAAATAAACACAGAATTTAAATACAGGCCCCTTACAGAGGCTCTGAAACACCACCAGCTAAAGAGGACCATTCAAACAGAGATGCCTCCAGCAAATTAATCTGCAATAGACAGAGTGGCCGGCTGGAAAACGCAAAGAGCAGCAGTGAAGATAGCTACAGTTGTGTGAGTCTCTAAACATTTGTTTGCAGTGGTTTTGGAGCTGTGCTGATCCCAGGATATGAGACAAGGTGAGTTAGGTACAGGGTTGCCAACTTTGGTTGGACGAATTCCTGGAGATTCATCACATGACATTATCTGTAATTAAATATTCATCTTTAATTCCTGGAGACTCCAGGACAATCCTGGAGGGCTGGCAACCCTAGTTAGGTAATATATTTTATTGAACCAACTTCTGTAGGTAGAAGGTGCAAAATTTTGATTTCCTTTCCCCAAAGCCGAAGAAGAGCTCAGCGTAGCTCGAAAGCTTGTACCTTCCACCAACAGAAGTTGGTCCAACAACAGACATTGTCTTGCCCACCTTGTCTTACTAAAACATGACCTTTCACCATTTACTTAATCAGACTTCTCTACCCAATACAGCTTTGCAATCTCATGAAGTATGGGGGCTTCCTAAGAAAAGGCAGCCGCTCTGGAAAGTGTGTGAAGCACGGGGAAAAACCGACTGTCAGTCTTCATTAAAGAGCATGACAAAACTAAGTAAACTCTAGTAAAACATCAGAGGGGTAGCCGTGTTAGT